CTCTGTCAAGCTGCCGGAAATTACTAAAGACACCCATCATTCTTCCCCATCCTTCTCCCCCTTCATCAAACTTTCTTAGAATCCCTTCCTCTTTTCCTTAGAACCTCTGTCTCGCATAGGAACTCATAGCTCTCTCTCTGTTTAAGTGCTAAACTCATGAAAATTTTGCTCCCATGCCACAAGCCTCTCATGCAAAGCTAGAAAATTTATCTGTAAGTTGTTGTCATTTTCGTTGATGAAGGTAACCAAGGTATTTCCTAAGGCTTCACTACCCTTTCGAAACATTCTTGGGGCTTGATCTTCGAACTCAGAAACAGGGGCAATCTCATCTGTTCATCCTTTACAGCAGCCCAAGCCCATTCGTCTAGCTGCTTGAAGAAAAAGACCCCCACACCCATTTATTTAATAAACCAACTGATTGTCTTAGAAGACCCAAACAACTAAAATAAAGATCTGCAAAAGCTCCAGCACTTGGCGGGAAATGTGAACCACAATGAAAGCCAAAGTGTTATGTCATAGAGCTGCTGGGAGGCTCCAACACATGGGCAAAGAACGAACACCAAGGTCAAGCACGCAAAGAACTAAGGGGTATTAGCGTGCGTAGGTTGTTAGGAGCCAAGGTACCCTTCTGTTGAGGTCCAAAAAATCCAGGGTTTGGCCCAAATAAATTCCCGGCCCAATATGACATCATATTAAGAAAAAACCTAATTTGGAGCACGCAAAAGGCCGCCATATTAAGAAAAGACCCAAGCGACATGTCATGCCAAGCGGAAAATTATTATTTCACACCCAAACACACTACAAGCGTAAGTGGGCCTAAGCCACTCAAATGCCCGGGACTTGCTTGAGTGGGTTGTGGTATGGATGGTAATAAGTTGTCATGAGGCCCATTGATGGGCCGAGAAATGGAGGTCCCGGGTTGCTTGGGAGCCTCGGGACTCAAGCCCATTTCTTAGGCCCAAACGTGGGTAAACACAAGAGAGAAATAAAATAGCCCAATGTCCTAGAAAAATCAACCCCTCACCTCAACAAGTTGGGCCATTTATTTGATAAACCAACTTATTGTCTCAGAAGGCCCAAATAACTAAAATAAAGATCTGCAAAAGCCCCAGCACTTGGCTAAAGAACAAAAGTCAAGATTAGCACATATTATGTATGCTCATTTGGGAGGATGGTTAGTCTCAAACCATTTGTGTAGTTGACACTAATACAAGTATGTGGGTGCTCATTAGTGAATGAGTACACTGAACGCGATCAACCGTAGTTCTCGTATGGAGTATTTATCTACATGTCAAATGAGAACTTGTAGTTGCAATAATGCAAATTAGTCCTTAGACCTGAGGCATCATGGTTGTCCTGTGATGCGTTATTTATCTTTGATAGCTCTTAAAGGCAAGCCGTAAAAGGTTTGTCTTAAGTGTTGTTGGGATCTCTTAATTCATTATAGGGGCATGTGAATGTACAATAAGGAATCTCTACTTTCGATAAAGAAGGAGAGTGTTTCAAGATGTGATTCAGTAAATCTTTGGCCAAAGTATTTTTGAGCTTGATTTAGAAAGTTGTTCTTAATCATGTTCTTTTGAATCACATGAGGTTGTAAATCATATTAGGGGTTTGACATAATCAATCCGTACTCTAATAATATGATTTGAAACATTGTATAAGAGAAGGATCGTATTGCATTGCAATTCCAACTGAATAGGTTCTTCATTTATTCTGGTTAGCTTGGGTAGCCTTGATATATTGCTAGATGTCACTCTTGGCTTGTGGAAGTCCTAGGATTGATTGTGATCGATCCAAATAAAGGAAGAATTAAAAAGGGGTTTTAATTCCAGTTGGTTAGAAAGAGTTCTAATATTTTCCCACTACCTTGCTAATTAGAACCTAATGGATCGCATACCTTAAATGGTTAACTTTGAGTAATACAAATGAGAATGAGGAAATTAATTTGATTGATTTGATGTGGATGATTTACTACGTGTAAAAATGTATTTGGGCTAAGTAATAGTTAACGGAAAGCCCGAATGGTTGGGTATCAAGCCCAAGGGCTTAAGACACCTAAATATTATTGTTTAAGTGTCATAAGGCCCAATTTTGGAAGCCCAATGGGTTTTGGCCGAAAATGCTTAAGTAAGTATGTATGGGAATTGTTTCCACAAGCTTATTGACACACAAACACAATCCAACATTAACCAAATGGGTTTGGAAGATCAAAGAGAGAAAAAAAAGAGAGTTTTCAAGAGTGAAACACTTTCATCTTTCAAAGTGGTTTAGATTGAAACCAATCTTGAGAATCTTGCACTAGCATCCAAGTATTCTCAAGATACTTATTCTCATCTCAAGGTTCCATTGGTGTGGAGACTTAGAGGCCATATACTTTTGTGGCTCACATGGAGGAGAAAGATCAAGGAGCAAAGATCAAAGATCAAAGAGGAGATCAACAAAGAGGAAATCATCAAGAGAAGACCAAACACAAATTGGTTCATATAATTGCTTCAAGGGTAATTAGATCTTATCCTTTCTCTTGAATTTTCATTTATGAAAAACATATCAATGTTCATGGCTTAAGATACTTGGAAGAAGTTTTGTTTTTGAATTTAAACAACCACCTTAGACTTCCGCTGCGATTAATTTGATTAAATGCATGTTTAATATTCAAATGAACTTTGGAAAAATATTTTGAAATTCCTACAAAGCCATGAAGGGAGCTTGGAGGACCACGTGCGCAGAGCTGCTGGGAGGCTTTAGCACATGGGAAGGAACAAGTTTCCAGCAAAAACATCCAAAGGACCAAGGGATATTGGCGTGCAGACTGCCAGGAGAGGAACCACCCGTTGAACCAGCATGCATACCCATTTCTCTCCCTTATCAGATCTGGCTATGGAAGAAGGAAACAAAGGGGGAAAGGCAATGGTTGGAAATAAGAAGTTCTCCACTGTGGCAGCCGCAGGAAGAGCATTGAGCTCCCAAAAAATCCCTGATTTTGTGGGATTGGGCAGAGAAGATTTTGCCAGAATAAGATGGGAGGAGAAAGGAGGGAAAAAGCTTGGCCAAAATTGGATAGGAACCATTAGGGTTTCTTTGGAAAGGACAGCTTCCAGCGACTATAAAATGAGGCCTCTTCAACCCAACAAGCATCATCCACATCTGAAGAGCAAGCTTCCTTTCCCACCTGAAGAGCAAGCTTCCTTTCTCACCTGCAAAACCCAGCAAATTCGTGCTCTAGTCACCCTTCTCCCTCATTTTCCCCCTTTCTGGCAGGCTGTTATAGCATTTAAACAGAGCCTCTGTCAAGCTGCTGGAAATTACTTAAGCCACCCATCATTCTTCCTCATCTTTCTCCCTCTTCATCAAACCTTCTTAGAATCTCTTCCTCTTTCCCGTAGAAACCCTATCTCTCATAGGAACTCACAGCTCTTTCTCTTTAAGTGCTAAACTCATGACAATTTTGCTCCCATGCCACAACCCATTGCCTTCTCTTTCCCTCTTCTTAGCCAAACTTTCTTACAATCATTACTCCCCATATCTTTACACCCCTCTTTCTCGCAGGAACTCACATTTTTCTCTCTTTAATGCCAAACTCATGACAACTTTACTTCAATGCCACAAGCCTCTCATGCCAAGCTAGGAATCTACCTGTAAGCAGTTGTTATTTTTGTTGGTGAAGATAACCAGGGTGTTTCCTAAGGCTTTGCTATCCTTTTGAAACATTCATGAGGCCTAGTTCTTGAACTCAGACACAAGGGGTACTTTCACACATTAGGCTCTTTACAGCAGCCCAGCCCAATCTGCAATTGTCGGAACGAAAAAGCCCCTACAATTAGTATATAAATAAAGTTCATCTACACTCCAATCTCATCTCCATTCTCATTCTGACTTCCATTCTCCCCTCGTTTTACTTTATACTTTAGCACATAAAATAAAATTTTAAAACTAAAATTGAAATAAGTTTCAAACGGGTTTCTTTGTATCAATCTTTGTCATATTGACTTTGTGCTCATTTTGATTCCAATATGTTTACTTTTTAGTTATTATATATAAGATGTGATGGTTTTGTTTGCTTCTTGCACTTCCTTTTCAATTTTTAGTCTTTTTGGGATTTTTTTTTCATTTCTATATAGTTTGCATCAATCAATTGGCGCAAGTTTCATTTCTTTCAAATTGAGAAGTTGACCAATGATTATTCTCCTAGTTCATGTGAAGCGTTGGCCAAAAAGAAAAAAAAAAGTTGATGCGAACGTAAGTTCATGGTTTTGGCGAAACATATAGTTTTGTATTAATTCAATAATTAGTTAGTACTTGAGAGTTACTATATATATATATATATTAAGGAGAATGATTGAGCACTTGACTGAATAAGGTAATAAATAAACTGAAACTGCACTTGGATGGTTGTTTCTTAGATTTTTTATATATTCAATTTTGTTGTATGATTGAAACTTTCCAAGTCTTTAAGAAATACAGATAAATTTCTTGGAAATTTTACTAATTTTGGCATTGAAATTTCTTTACAGTGTGTTTGGATGAGGAAGTTTAATTTTTTTATTTATAGAAATTGTAAATGATAGAACTTGGACACCTTAATAATAAAAGTACAAATATAGTTTAAAGAAAATTCTAATGATATTTCTCTTTTCAAAGTTGGAAGAGATCCAAGTATTATTCTCTATTTCTTGAAGTGTTGTCTACATGCGCGAAAAGTTTCAAAAGCAACAAATTTTTCTTTCTGATGTTGATTTTGAAAATTTTCGCCTACCACATGTGGACAATAGTTAGAAAAATAGATCAATAATACTTGAATCGCACTTCTCTCCCTCAGTTAAATTTTTGGGCTTTTCACATATAAGTCCTTTTTTTTTGTGAAACATATAAGTCCTTTTTAACTTAACTTTTTTTTTTTGCCAAATTTTTTAACTTTACATTTTAAATAATTAATTTTTTGTTTTTTAACTCGAGCACAATATTGTAGAAAACACCTTGTTGTACTTTTGAATGAAGAAATGCTGTAACACACTGAGGGGTCAAAAGTCCTCAGCAGCGTTTTCTTTTGGTTCCCGCCTCTTTCTTTCTTCTTCGTTGTTCCTCTCAGTCACTCTTTCTCTCTCGCCTCTGCCTCTCTCACTCTCTCAGACTCTCTCCAGATTTCACACGAATCACGATCTCTCAATCACTCTCTCTCTCTCTCTCTCTCACCCGCTCTCTCTAAGTCACTCAGTCTCTCTCTCAACCGCTCTCGCTCGCCTCTGCCTCTCTCAGTCTCTGGTCTCTGCCTCTGTCCGTTCTTCCTCTCAGTCACTCTCTCAGCCACTATCGCTCTCTCTCACCCGCTCTCTCTTAGTCATCAAAGGTCTCCCTCTCTCGATTTTTGTTGGTTTGAGGTATTAATATTTTGAAACCCTAATTCAAAATTTAGGGATTTTTGTTGATTTCTGTTATTTCTTTTTATATATTCTGACTTTGTATATATATTTTTTCTGGACAGAATTGATTTGAAGGCAAAGTTTTTCCAGATTGGCTTGCTGGCTGTGTTTATTTCTGGTATGGAATTGTTGCTGTTTTATTTGCTATTGTTGCTGTTTTATTTGCTATTTTTGCTGTATTTTTGTTATTTTTTGGAAAGAATTGCATCATTCAATAACGTGATTTGGCAGATATTGAGTAATAATTTAATTTGTATGATTGGTTGCTGTTTCGGTTGCTATATTTATTTTTGTTTGCTGTTTGAATAAGAGCTGCATTACCATTGAAAATTGTTCCTGTTTTATTTGTTATTTTTGGTATGGAATTCATCATTAGCATGTGTGGTATGATTTATTTTTTCTATTTGTGATACCACCACGTTGCATGATCTACTGAGACTTTCTATGCCAATGCTTGTTGATTGTCACCATTCTATTAGTTCTCACTTGTTGATTGTTATTGTGGAAACCCTAATTCAAAAATTTGGGGATTTGACTCTTTGTATTTTTACTATTTATTTGTCTGACTGTGTTTATTTCTGGTAATTTAGGGAATCAAAAATTCTGGCTGGAATTGATTTTGAAGGCTAAGGAAAGGATTGGCTTGCTGGCTGTGTTTATTTCTGGTAATTTTTCTATATTTTTTGTTGCTGTTTTTATTTGTTATTTTCAGTTGCTGTTTTATTTTGTATTTTTGGTTGCTGTTTCATTTTTTTTATTTTTGGTTGCTATTTGTTTTATTTGTAGTTTACAGAAAACCGTCTGAAAATTAATTTGTTTCAATGTTAATGCTTATTGTTTCATTTTTTGGTTGCTGTTTCAATTAATTTGTTTTATATGTTAATGCTTATTGTTTTTTTTGTTATTGAAGCATGCAATATTTGTATTTTGGTTGCTGCTGTATTTTGGCTTATTGTTTTTGTTTTATATGTTAACGCTAACCAGAGAGCAGGACATCGAACAGAGAGAGCAAGTGCACCTCTGTCCACGGCGCAGAAGAGAGAGAGAGAGAGTTGCTATTGTTGGAAACTAAGGCTGATAATTTTTTTCAATTATGCTTGAATTTGTTGATATTTAACATTGCATTCTTTGCCCAAAATCTGCGACTTTAATCTGTGCATACTTGATTTTGGAATATAATTTAGAAGACAACCCAAATGTTCTACCTCAGCCGAATTGAGCACACTCTGCGGCTGCCTCCTCATCTTCTTAGCCTTCGTCTAGAAGATGCAGTTAGGGAGAGCTTGAGAAGCTTTTCTTAGATAAGGTTTGTGGCCTGATACATATTTTGAATTTTGCCCTTTGTTTCTTATTCACAATGTTTTTACTTTGATTCACTATGATGTTGTTCCTTGTAGGTTATCGCGAACTTGGGACTTTGCATTTCTGTGCATAGTATCCAATCCATTAAAGATGGCTTTATCTTACCTAATGATGGTCATCCAACTTTTAGGGTATATATTTGTTTACCTTACTCTTCTCAATTTTATGACTATAAAGTGCTTTTGGTAAATTCTGTTTTGTTCAAATTTAGGTTGTTTTAGTTCGTATAAGTGGAATCAGCTTGCTTGCTTCAATTCGTTTTATTATTCTTATTCATATTATTTCCAATTTTCAATTGTAAGATACCTCAATTTATTTCCGGTTAAACTATGCGGTGCATGAGAACTGCCAATCTAAATACTTGGTATCGTTGATACAGATTATTAGGCCTTTAGCTTAATATGCAATAGACAGTGATCTTCTCTATATCCAAATTTTGTTTGTTGATTGGTGATAATGGTGTGCTTAAGTAGGCTTGTTTTGGTCAGGTAATTTCGCTTGTTTGTGGATTGCTTTTGTTGGTTTTTTGTTTTTGGTTTCCGAATAAAATTGGGAAACTTTGGTGTTTTAGCTGATGGGTGGTAATAATGGTTTCGGAGAGGGTATTGGGTCGCAGTAGGGGTTAATGATTGGTTTAGTTTTCTAATAAGAACTATAATCGTGCTTTTAGGTATGTAGTGGAATAAATTTTGTTGGAGCTGCTTTGGATTATAATAAAGTTGTGGATTTGCATTTGTAACATGTTTCACTCAAATAGTTTTGAGGGAGAATGGTATGGATTTTAGAGCATACCTGTTTAGTTTTCAATGCACTGGCATTAAGTGTCAATCTGTAAGAGCATCCACAATCATGCTTTCTATTTTTTAGTTAAAATTTAGCTAAAAACACTATAAAACTATTTTTGTCTCTATAAAATTTCAAACTCCAACCATACTCTCTAATTTAAATAGTCATAAATGCTTTTAATAAATTTTAATTCAATTTTTGAATAAAGTATAGACACAAAAGCAACAACAAAAAATAGTTGGCATTAAATAAATGGTTAAAATACTATTAAAGTAATTGAGCATTAAATTATAGGGAGCCACTAGGAGTCCTTTCTCTCTTCTCAGATTTAGGAGCTCCTAGAGATCTCTCTCTATTTTAGGAGGTGGATAGGGAGCATGGTTGGAGTTGTATTTTTCCAATTGCTCTCTAAAATTTGTGTAAGGAGGTGGTTTAGGGAGCCCATTGTGGATTTTCTAACTTATAATTATTAAATTTGGTGATTGCACCTATTTTGATGATTGGTCTTCCATTGTGGTCTAGTCGTTTTGTACAGGTCTTGATTGAAAGATTGGCATTTTTTACTTTATCTCTTATCAGGATTTAATGGGTTTTAATCAAATTTGTCATATTTGATAAAATACTTCTCTGTAAGGAATGCTTCGAACTACTGGATTTTGATTTTTTGACTGACTTTGAGTTATGTGATTATTTGTTGTATGAAAACACAAATGAGTTTTGTTTGGTTGTTTGAGTCAGAGTTTTCGACTTAAAATGATTTCGAAACGAGGAAGCATATCATTGTTCTTCGTGCACTGGCTGCAGAAGATTGATATCTCTTATGTGTAATTAGAATTCATCACTTAAATTCATTACTTGTTAGTCAGTGCCTCCCTGCTAGCTAGCCATTTGTTAATTGTTAAATTGATTACTTAATGGCTGATTGTTAGCTTAAATGGGAGCTGCTGATTAGCGGAGAATTTATTCCCTGGATCCTACATAAATTAATGTACTCTACCTTCATTTGATATGATAATATGTAATATACAATGATCTTCTTCTCTATATCCTAATTTTGTTTGTTTTGTTTTTCCGAAACATGGAATCAGAGCAACAAGCTCTTGAGATCTAACCCACCTGCTACCCTTACCCTAGAAAAAAGGAACAAAGAAAGAAATGGACCGCTTCTTCTCTCTTTCCCATTACTATGACATAGGTTCCCTTAAATCTTTTCGCTTGGATTTCTTCTCGGTTCTCAGCTTGATTTACTTCATTCCCTGTGGGTGACAAAACTGACAACTAGGTCCTGTCTTCTTCTCTATGAAATTGAAGTGCCTAATTACCTTCAGAGTGAGTATCACTGGTATAGGCTGAGTATTTGTTTTTTACACTTAATGGGTAACTGTTAGGCATTTAGACTAATTAAGATTTTCAGCTTAAATTAATGTCAGAATACTCCCTTCATTTGAGTATGCACTATGCAATGTTCTTCTTCTTCCTTTCTAAAGCTTCTTGTTTTATTTTACCCCTTTTTCAACAATTGGCAGGTGGAGTTCACACTGATTATGTTTCGTCCATTTGTGGGAGAGATAATTGTTGCAAAACTTAAAGAATCTACTGCAAATGGTTTACGTCGTATGTATTCTACTGAGATGAACTGAGTGTAGCTTAATTCTACGTCTCATTTAGTTTTTCCTTCTTAGTTTCTCTTTGGTGCAAGCAATTCTCACTCTATGCATTGATGGACTCCTCTTTGATAAGGAAGCATATCTATGTCTTACCCTTAGTCTGATTTTGAATCTTTAAATGGCAGTGTCCCTTGAATTTTTCGATGATATTTATGTACCTGTTCATCTTTTGCCTGTTCCATCCCATTCCGTGACTGACCCAGGAAAGAGGTGACCATCCCTTCCATGTCTGGTTGATATAAGTACAAATAGAGCGTTATATTTATAATCCTGCATGAATTCTTGTATATTGATATATTTTTGAACACCCTTTAATTTGTAGTTTATAATATTTGCTGAGGATTACAGGGATAGAGTCATGCGTATATGGAAGTTTCCTGATTCAGATGAAGAACTTGTTATTGATGGGATAGACGAGGTTCATATTGTTGTGGTTTGATTTATCCATACGTACTCAAATTTCAGTTGCCTAAGTGTATGCTAACTTTTAGTTCCAAATGGCAGATAAAATTCCAAGTTCACAGTGTGAACTTTCCTCCAATTCCAATTGCGCAGCCAGAAGACTCAAAACCATTTGCCCCTATGGTGGTTACAGTAAGTTTATGCTTTAAATCTTATCATACGACTGGTGGTTGCATCTAGCTGTAGCATCACTCGATCTCTAGTTCTCTACAATTCTCCAAACGCAATGTAACTATTGCAAAAATGCTGCTTTGTGAAACTTCTGTTCCCTTTAAAATCTGTGCTAATTCCTTTATGTAGAGTAACACTAATTCTTTTGTTACATCTTTGTTCAAATTAAATGAGGGTTGGCAAGTAGATTTCTAATGAATTCTGTGAGCCTCCAATTAAGTTTCCTATTTTGAAGGGATCAATTGATTTTGACGGTTTGGGCCTTGTTTCGTGGTGGGTGGATGCAGAAGATAAGGATGAAGAACCTGAAGATCCTTAAGCTGACAGACCTTCAGCAAAGGGGAGCTGCTTCTATCATGTTTCTCATGAATGTGTTTGAAGGCATGGATACATAAACTATTGTAGTTCAAATTAGCTTGGTGGGAAGGTGGACAAACTTTAGTGGTGTAGGGGGGTTAAGACTATTTGTATGAATTCCATTGTGAATCAGCTTAGCTTGAGCTTTGAGGGTTAGTGGTTTTGACCTGCTGCCCCATTTGCAATATCTTGGGGAAACTGCTACTTGCACATATCTAAATGTAATTCTAGCTTCAAAGTGTTTTCTTCGAGTGTAGAATTATGAAAGCACTTGATAGAAGAAATGGACTTGTTTTTTTATTTATTCTTTTTGTAAGTAAATGAATTTTTTAACAAAAAGGAGGGCAAATCCCTTGGTGCAAATAACAACAGGGTCATAAGACCAAACAAGAAAACACAAGGGGGCAGTCCTACCAATAGAAGGCAATCCCTAGCTAACAATACAACAAACCCTAATAGCAATTAGCTCATAGGGATCTTCCAATCTGCAACAAGATATGAGTTAGCAGGTGAGGTTTTAAACACCATAGAACATAGTGTTGAAGATAAATGTGAACCTCCCAACACAATTTCACCACCACTAATTAAATAATGGGGTTTTATTATTTTAGGTTCGACCCATTCAAGACGCAAGCCTCTTAATTACAATCCCTTGCTTCAAGGGAAAACCCTTTGATTCCATCATAAAGAAACAAAATGTGTGTTTGGTTTTGCGGCTGCCCCTAAGTCGAACCTCAGGGTGCCTACGTATCTCTTGCGAGAATCAAGCCACTCGTAGTTCGAAGAAGTGCAATGAATGAATGACTCATTGCAAAAGGGAAAATTTGTACGAATTCGATTGAAAAAGCGTTTGAGTGAATTTAGTTGAATAAACCAAGGATTCGATTTTGATGTGTGTTTGGGGTGAATTTGGTTAAGAATAACCATGGATTCTGTTTGGATTTGAGATTTGGGCGGTTGCATCTAGATTGGATCTCTAGATTGCCTACGTACCCTTTTGAAGGGATCAAACCAACGTAGTTCGGAAATGATTGTTTAATTTGCGTGGTTTTGTACCACTTGGGATTTGGCGTGGTTTTGTACCACTTGGGATTTGGTGTGGATGCGGTTGCGTCTAGTGGTATGCCAGACTGCCTACGTACCCTTGATGGGATCAAACCGGCGTAGTTCCGAAAAGATTTGCATGGAGATTTGATTGGTGGGAATTTGATTGCGGTTGCGTCTATTGGTATGCTAGACTGCCTACGTACCCTTGATGGGATCAAACCGGCGTAGTTCCAAAAAGATTTAGAAATTAATGGGTAAGTGTGGCCCAATAATTTAGAATTTGTGTCTTTGAGACAATTTAGAGATTTTCATAGGTAGATGACCTATGAGAAAGACTGGAAATTAATGGGTAAGTGTGGCCCATTAATTGAGGATTTCTGTTTGAGATATTTGAATTTAATTCCATTGGAATTTTCATGGGTAGATGACCCATGGGGAAATTTGATGGTTTTGTACCATTTTTCTTATTGTCAATATCCAAGAAAAATAATGAGTAATTTTAATTATCCCATTGATTTTTCATAAAATTGACATTTGCACTTGAGATTTGGTGTGGTTTTGTACCACTTGGGTCTTGGCGTGGTTTTGTGCCACTTGGATCTTGGCGTGGTTTTGTACCACTTGGGTCTTCACTTGGCGATTTGAGAATTAACGGGACCCTTTTTATTTGAGTCCATTAATTCATAATTTGTGAATTCGAGACTTTGTACCAATTATTCACCAATTGGGATCTTTTTATGGCAATTCCATTGTATTTGAGACCGTCGGGTCTTGGAGGCCACCTAGTTCGTGGCTGATTGACTGATCTTGAGATGTTTGACGAGCCCCATGAGTATGAGACCATTGTGTCTTGGGCCATCGAATCTTGTAATTTCGTATTGGGCCCATTGCTGTCAACGATTTGGTAACGAGCTTGAACCTTCGCAAGTTTTTAGCCTTCTTGCTCACGTTTTCTAAGCTCGAGGCAACAACCCACATGGTCTTTCCACTTGCAAACTGAGGTCTTTTGTGACTTTTGGCTATTTTGTTTGCTTATTTATTTGTCTCATCTTTGTGCAGGTGGCGTTGGAACAAAAGGGAATAAAACCACTTTCTTCTTACTTTCACGAGGTAGCACCTCCATGCATGATCCCCTAATGCCTTGTCGTGAGCCATTTTGAGAACTTTGAGGTACCTTTGCTTGTAAAAAGAAAAGTTCTCGCAAGGACCAAACAAACTTGGTATTGATCACTGCTTGCTGCACACAAGAGAAACAATAGACACTTGCTTTCTTCTTGGTTCGTCAAACCAATTGGTTGGTGGTGGGTGGTTGTTGCAGCCATGTAATTTTCTGTCATGGAGTTAATGATTTTTCTATTTAGAGAAAAGCTCCATTAACCATTGAGAGAGAGAAAGAGAGTTCGGCTTATACAGATCCTTTTGTGCGCCACAAGGGCTTAGGTGATTATATGAGCCAGCCCCTTTTGTTGTTTCTCTTTTTGTTGTTGCCATGTGATTGCTAAAGGCATCCTGGGCTGGGAGCATTCGAGCAGCAAAGCCACATCCTGGAGAGATCATGCCTTTAATTAAGCAAATGCCTTTTAATTTGATCAAGACACCCAAGTATAAAAATCCTTCTCCAAGTGAAGTATGAATTAGCCTCCCTATCGCATTGGAACCCCTTGAGCATCCAAGAAGGCAGTAAGCCCCTTGTCCATATAGGATTGGGCATTATGAAATTTTCCTTTAAAAGGCATGTGCACCGCAACTTTAAGGAACCAGCAAACAAAGCGATAGCTTTTGATATATTTGCTTTTCCAGACAAGCTCGTAGACTTCCCCAAGACATCTGCTGCATCATCAAAAGAAGCAGCAAATTGTTTCTTTCCCTCTGAGACATCTGCTGCAATTTGTCCTCTTGCTTCAGAAACCAAAGAGAAAACTTGTGGTACTTGCTTTGCCAACTCTTTTTTTGTTTGCTATTGCTGTACTTTTACCATTGCTCATTTGAGACATCCCCTGCGTTTGGAAACATATTCGGAGTTGCCTGCTGGAAACATGATAATTGAAATCATCATGGAAGATGATCTTTCCTGTTGGTGGTAGACTGAAAACATCGATGGAATTATTTGAGCGGAGCCAAGCCTTGGAGAGATTCTTGACTTGTTTATGATGATTTCTATCATCATAGCCAAGAATCTTTCTTTGGACTGATCAAAAGATGGGTGCAGATTGTACACTTGGAAATATTTGAGCGGAGCTGCCCGTTGGAATAGATTATCCCCTGATACATGATGATTGAAATCATCATAGAGGACAATCTTTCCTGTCGGTTGTGGACTGGACGCTTGGAAAACATCGTTGGAATCGTTTGAGCCGAGTCGAGCCTTGGAGAGATTCTTGACTTGGTTTATGATGATAGAAATCATCATAGCCAAAAATCTCTATGGACTGATCAAAAGCTAGGTGCAGATTGCATACTTGGAAATGCTTGAGTGGAGACATGCCTTAGAGATCCCTGACTTGAGATGGCTCTTGCTTTCTCTGGTATGCTTGCTGTCTTCCTTTTCTTCCTGCGGCTATCCTCCTTTCTGCTCCTTCCGTTCTCTGCCTCTGTGGCCTTGTGAGCTCCCCCCTTTTTCTTTCCAGCCTCTCCTTTTTATTTACAGCCGTGCTTTTTGTAGGCTAGCCATCAGGGATCCCTTTTGTGAAGGACTCTTCATGCAATAATCACTCCACCAAAACAGGAACCACCCAACTCTCTTGAGAGTTTTCATTGGTTGGCCAAACTCCTATTTTTTTTAAACTCCTTTTGGATTTGCACGTGGGATCAACCCACCTTATCCCTTGGCTTTGAAACTTGAAAAGCTTATTGGATAATTGGCTTTACTTTTTTTTTTGAAACACTTATCATTTTGCTGGCCGTGGGCTTTGACAAACACAGTCCCAATTATTTTTTTTTTGTGCATTTTTTTAGTTCAACACATAGCCTACCTAATAGAATTCTGCAATTATTGAAAATCCTACAATTTGAGTGTTACAGCAAGGCGGCAAGAAGCGTTTCTGAAAATCCTACAATTTCTTTCCGTCCAAATGTAGTAAACAAGGGTAGCAAACAGAAGTCTAATAGTGCTTATTCAGTATGTAATCTCCCTTGCACATCAAGATTGCTATATATTACATTGTTTGATTCGCATCTGCAATCAAAACGATTTCTGTAGAATTTGTAACTGTTGATGCACTTGTGGTACTTGAATGGTCCCCGGGAACCACTTCTGGCATTTGTTGTGGATACAAGAAAGGCTTTGGAGGCATTTCAAGGCTCTCTATTTCTCCTTCAAGCATCTCAACTGCTTTATTCATAGAAGGACGGTCACTAGGCTTCATTTGTATGCACCACAAAGCCACAATGATCATCTCCTTTATGATCTTCTCTTCCTCCTCTGTGGCGTCTCCAACTTTTATGTCCTTTCCTTCACTCAATTGGTCAAAAACCCATGTTGGAAAGTATATTTGGCTTGACTTCTCTATGGTTGCATTTAAATTCTTTCTTCTGCCAGCCATTTCCATCAATAGCATTCCGAAACTATAGCATTCTGGTGCTATGTATCCGATAGTTCCTCTTGCTGCCGTCAAAGATACAATGCTATTATCGAGCGGGCATAGCCTTGCTAATCCAAAATCAGACACCTTGGGAAGAAAATTCTCGTCAAGAAGAATGTTATGAGGTTTGATGTCAAAGTGCAGAATTTACATTTCACATCCTCTGTGCAGATATTCAATACCACGAGCCACTCCAAGCGCGATTTCAAACATTTTCTCACAATTCAAAGAGATAACTCCCTGTTGAGAAAATAAGTATTTATCAAGAGATCCATTAGGCATGAAGTCGTATACGAGAGCACGCTTTGAACCCTCAACGCAGAAGCCAATGAGTTGCACCACGTTAACATGGTGAATCCTTCCAATGGTTGCAACTTCATTGATGAAGTCTTGCCCATTAGCTTTGGACTTACCCAACATCTTGATGGCTACAAGGCGACCGCTACGAAGCTTTGCCTTGTATACAGAGCCATAGCCTCCTTCACCCAATTTTTCCTTGAAACCTTTGGCCATCTTTTTTATGTTTGAGTAAGAGTACCTTATTGGCATGAGCTTATTGTTCTGCAAAAAGTCTTCTATATTGTCATGCATTGACAAGTGCCTCCTTTTCCATTTGTATATTATTAATGCAGTTGCACAGGGAAAGCC